TACGGAAGGAATTTGAGAGTTATAAAATGATCCAAGGAGTACTGTGAGATTATTAACTTGAGAATAGTTTTAACAATCAGTAGTAATTTTAAAAGAAGGGGTCTTAGTGATAAATTTAATTGGTATTGTTGTGAAATTATTTGCCATTTGAGGTAAAAATTTCATAAGATGCTCTTCCTCTTAGACTAGAAACAGCCAAGTGATGCAATGGGAAGGCCACAGTAGGAGGTAACAATAAAGTCTGTAATGGTAAAGTGCTTTCTTAGACAGACAATAGAGGACTCTAGATATGTCTCATAAATCAAATGTGATAAATTGTATCCTGGTTGTTCTTATACTGGAAATAAAATCTGACTAGCACTGCTTGCATTGGCATTCTTCTGTGGCTTCAAGCTGAGCTGAATGTGTTTCGATAAAGATCGCATATCAATGCCTCTAGTGACTCTGGATGTATTTTCTGATCAGGTCCTCAAAGCTCTAGGAGATGGCCACGTTTCTGGTTTCTTATGAAGCAAAATCCTTAGACATATCTGAATGTTTTCTTAGAAGAAGTGAGCCCTAGACTGGAATAAGATTCGTGGCAATGCATGCATTTTAGATACTTGTCTAGATCTGGGAGCATAACTAACACCAGAGATTTCATGGTTTTGTTTAAATCTGTCTTCACAAACTGAAGAGTTCTGAAATAAGGTATATTTCACTACAGTGAGGATGTAGTAGTAGTACATCTCTGCTTACTCTCAAATGCATGTAATAGCAGAGAGCTACCCAAAGGTCTGTAGAAGGAAAAAAGTGCCATCTTAGACAAACCTTATATATATTTAATGCCAAGAAGCTTTTGTTGTTAACATTTTAGTGTGGTCTCATTTTTCTGCTGATTTCCTGGATGCAAATTGCTTATTGACATTTGAGCCCAGTTATGGGCTTTTACAGCTTGGTGAGCTGGGGGAAAACTCAGCTTCTAGGGCAAGCTGGAACAATTTTAGGATCGCCCCATGGCACTGTCTGTGTCCTGGGGACATCAAAGGATAGTATAGAATATAGCCTCCTCGGGAGGGGCACAGTGGTGATCAGGAGTGAGGCCTCCATGAGTGCAAAGTCCACCAGTGTTTCTCCAATGCAAAGTTCACCAAAGTTCACCAGCTTGTTTCTCACCTTTGAGTGGGTCATTGCAAGTATATCTCAGCTGGTGCCCATGTCTGTGTGTTTGGCAGAGGAATGGGTTTGTAAATGCACTTTTCATTTACTGTTCAACGCTTAGCTCCCTCCCAAGCCTCTTGCAAGCAGTATCAAATTCTTAGAAACCCATTGTCTGACCTCTTTCTTTTGGAATATTTATTAGTGTACAACAGCTACAGACTTACACCAATGGTTATGAATAGCAGCAGCAGTAGGTAACTATTACTACTGTGCAATCTTACTGTTTTCAACACACCAGAGTAATTAGCTATTTTCATCTTTGTTTGATTGCACTAATATTCAAATGTAAGCATCACTTGATGCACCTTTCAAGAAGCAATAGCTGTACCACCTTTGTGTAGGCCACTTCCAAATCTACACGGTGATATTCTTCCCATGGTAGTGTAATTGATTTAAAATAATATTGGCTAGAGAAGGAGTTTGGTTAATTTCACCTCTCAAACAAATGTGTGTCAGGAAATAAAAGTGAGTGGAAAAAGTCTGTCTGGACAGGCAGCATGCTGTGGTGTATTATGTTTCCCTGACATGAGAGGAATGTGGCAGGGAGGTCTACAGTTCCCTGCTGTAGGCACTAACACTGGCTGGAAAGCAGCTTGAGATGTGCCTTTTGCTTCATTAAGCAAAAGGCTTTCTCCCCATGGCAAGAAGTGCTGTAAAGCACAGCAGAAGTATTATAGTGTGTGTAGTTAAGACAGGGTTGCCAATTTCAAGTATCTAAAATCACAAGTCAGATATTCCAGCATAAAATCTGTCTAGAAAATAGAGATTTAATTTTTAAAACACTTTGTTTCCTTTTTGCCTCTTGAGCTTCATTTATTTTTAAGTGAAAGCTGAGATCTTCACTGAAAGTTGAGATCCTTGTCTGACTTCAGGGCTTTAAGAAAAACAGCAAATTACAAAAAACTTGCAAAAGAGCCATAGGGGTTGTTAACAGTGAGTCAGGCATCTCCTGTAGAAGCTGCACGATTGTATAAGCTTTGTCATTGTAAATAGGATCTGAAAGGCAGGGATGCAAAATGCAGGCTAAGCTCCTGGCACTTGCAATGTAGTTGAGGTTTGCTTACCTTGAACAAATAACAGTAACTGTGGTGGCTTGTGTTATTGAGCAGGCAGCCAAAAAAAAACTAACAAAACAAACGGGCACAGTCTGGCAAGCTGTGTTGTGTGAGGAGCCACAGTGAGGCAGTTTGAAGACCTTGCAGCCAGAGGTACCTGCAGCTGATCCGTGTCTGGTGTAACTTCTGCAGCCTCCCAGAGTTTGCTCCTGTGTGTGAGGGGGTCAGTGGCAGTGTTCCTGTTTCCAGGAGCCAGCAGAAAATGCTGAGGGATGCATTCATTTCCTTCTGTTGCCTACAGCTTCCAAAGGAATGGCAGTGCTTCCCTGAAAGGGAAGGTGTAAGAATGGTGATATCCAAGTTGTTCTCCCCACTCTGCCGAAGCTGTAGCTTTAGGATTTTCAGCTGCCACACTGCTGGCAGCTAAGGAAGGTGGAGTGCTTCTGTTTCTAGGCACTATCACAGTGCTGGAAAATCAATGCCAGATCATAGGCATAAGCATTTTTAGGATCATTCCTTGTTCCTGCACTTCAGTTCCAAAGAAGACTACAAAAGCCCACAATTTGCAAAGACTAAGATCCAAGAATTTGAACAATTTTATAGGATTTGTAAAATAAAACTCAAGTTTGCTGGTTTGGAGAGTGTGTGATCCTGTACCCCCACCAGATGTTAGGTATGTGAGCTGCAAATCTGGTCCTGTTCTATCTGCCTGGTTTGAACTCTTGAACTTGAGATTTTTTTTTCTGCTGTGCAACCCTGGAAGGAACAACGATTCTTAAAATAACATTTCAGCATTATTAAACACTGCTTGTTGGATGCTCTGACATTTGGTGTTGGCAGCTCTGCCTGCCTCTTCAGCATGCGTTTGGCTGTAACTATTCAGGCAGTCCTTTTCTTCTGCACAGCTAGTTCAGATGTAAAAAACCTTGTCCCTCAAGAGTGCTCCAAGTGGCTGTTCAACATGGATAAACCTCAGGAGCTCTGTCTTGCAAATATGATCTTGCTCTTAAGCATAATTTTCATTGTTTTCGAGAATCCTATTAATTATAGAGGAATGATAAATAATCCAGTGGTCTGAAACCCCATAATTCTGACTCAGGGAGCTGTTGCCACTAAAGGTGATGCTTTCAGTGCTGGAGGTGTATGAAATGCTCTGATGTACTCTAGGATCTAGCAGCTCACATGAAGGTTCAACATCATTTAAGACCACTGAATCTGCAGGATGTGTCATTCAACTTGTAAATACTTCCACCTTTGGTGGAAACATTTATAGTCAGAAACAGTGCCTTGAAATGTTTACTACTGTCATATTGAAAGGGGAGAAAAAAGATAGAGATGTAAAGATGTTGTGTGCATTAATAATTTATCTTGCAATTAAGAAAGTGTAAAAGAAATCCAGGGTGAAAACTGGGAAGAATTGCAAAGGAAAATACTGACTCTTTCATTTTGAATAATGCAGACCCCATTCAAGCTTTCTCTGCAGAACATGAGGTCTAATCCCAGCACAAGTAAACACATGTGGGGGTTTTAAAATTTAAAATGTTTAAAAATCATGCTGCTCTTGAGAGGTGATTAACTGTGCTCACTTAGCTGCAAGTGAATAATTAAACTGTGAGAGTTACTATTTTCCTGGCTCCTCTGTCGTGTTTCTTATTAATTCTTAGATATTCAACTTCTAGACTTTTTAGTATCAATCAGGCTCTGCATCTATTGTCTGAAAAATAAAATATGTAAAGGGAAAACTGCCACAGATTTAAATACATTGTATTGTTACAGTATAAATACCATCCTTGTAATTAAACCACTTGAAAATATGAACCATCAAATTTTTCTCTCAGGGACTCAGCCACCTATGAGGGTTTTGAAAATCTCCCTAGTGTGCTTTGCTTCTCCTGATTGTTCTTGGAAGAAAATTAGCTTTTAGTTGTTTAAAGTCTGTTGGCTTTATTTGCTACTAAATATACACATGATAAGTGCTGTGGGATCAAAACAAAACCAAGTTGCTCTTCCAACGATGTGATTTGCAGTTTGGCAGAAGTCAACAATACAACTCTTAGTGTGTTTGGGGTCACGGTGCATTAAGGTAGATCCCATTGGCCTGGATCAAGAACCTGCAAGGTATCTTCAAACAGAGGAAAGAGTGAATTTAAAGAGACTAGAAAAGGATGAGAGAAGGCACTTGAGAAGGCAGGTAGCCTGGTCCAAAGTCCTGGATTTGTTTTGTCCTTGTCCAGTGCGAATGTTCCTATATTAGAGTGGTGCCCTCTTAAATATATCCTCTGAGATTCTGTCACTTAATGAGGGTTTGGGCAGATTTTTTTCATGTTGGGAAAGTTTTCCTGATGACTGAGTTGCTCCACCAGGTGCCTGTGGCTTTGTCATTAGCTTGCTATCTTTGTGGGGAGAGTAGGATGATGCCAGGTTGAGAAAGTGAAAGGGGACAGGGAGGGAAATTCTCACATGGTGGGAGGAAGTTCTTGAAGGACCTGGATGAAAAGCCCTGGGAGGATTAAGAGAAGAAAATGTTACCCATCTAGGCTTCTTTTAATCAAGTTTTTCCCTATGAATGTCTTGGATTTTGGGATATTTTTGAAGTGTTTTAGACAGATATTGAATAACAGCAAAGTTTGTAATCTAATCGCAATCTCAGTGGGGGAGTGACCTCTGGATTCCACCTGCAGAACTAAAAATTAGTAATGATTTAAAGAAAGACCTGACCTTTTCCTGTCTTTTCTACCCTCACAGATGAACAGGAGCCAGCAGTCAGCAGCGATTCAGATATTTCATTGATTATGGCAATGGAGGTTGGACTCTCCGATGTGGAGCTTTCCACTGATCAAGACTGCGAAGAGGTGAAATCTTGAAAAACAGAGATCCAACACTAAACTACAGGGGACGGTCACGGGTAGGGACTGAGTCAGCTTTCTAGGATTTGGACCAGTCATGCATATGCCTCCAGAGCACTGTCACTCCTGCACACTCCATGCTGAGATGGTCATGAAAAGCAATAGCAGCTGTTGTGTCTGCCTGGAAGCGGTTTCATCATCTGCACACCTTTGTTTGGTTCACATGGGAGGTGGAGACACTTCCAGTTTACCCACGTGCTTGAGAGCAGTCATGGAACTCTCCAGGGGCTCATAAACATGCAACTGAAATGACAGCTTGAGTGTTTTTTACACTTGTTCAATCAAATTTTTGTTGTGTTTTTTGAAAAGGCATATGTTTATTTTGTTTGTTTGTTTATAGTTTGTTATCAATGGACACTTTGTTTTTATTGACTGATCCCAGCTTTTTCAAGAGTTCAGTCCAGAAACCTGAATTCCCATTCATTGGTCACTTCATGATCTGACCAAGATTTATCATTGCCTTGTTGTTTCTGCATGAATTACATGTGGCTGGCTTCAGAAGGATCATGCACCAGCACCCTGCATTAATGTAACACCTGCCTTCATTAAGTGGCAGGCTTGGAAATGGTATATTCTGAAGGCTTTTATTTGTAAGAGAGCTCTGAATTAGCAGAAATTTGGGTTAAAATGGCATTAGTTTGTCTCTTAAAGTTCTGTTCTAGACAAGTATTGTACTGTGTGAAGGAGAGAAAGAAGAGCTTAAAGCATCACTCCATCCATGTAGTCCTGTCCTGCATTTTATGCTACTCACAGGTGTCAGTACATTCGTGTCCTTCCTCCAAGTAACAATTCAGTAGCTGGAAAAAAAGATCTAGTGTAACATCACTTCTGAATTTTACAGACCAAAACCAGATCAGTGGGCTAAAGGAGCATCTGAGAGGTTTCCAGAGGCTGCTTATTAACAGTTCTGCAATAAGCAGGTGACAGTATTCTCACAAAGTGTCTGGAGATGCTGCTGTCAGTGTCAGAAATTGCTAAGGGAGCAAGAGGCAACAATTTGAAATGTTTAATTCCTGGTTTGCTTTGGGTCTTTTCTCTTAGTGTGTTTCATTTCTTACATTTTGACAGCAGTTTTTGTCTGCTTGTTATCTAAAAAGAGTTCAGGTAGTTTGTTGCCCTCCAGAGTCCCTGTCAATGTTTTCAGAAGCATAACAGAATATTTGCAATTTGTGTACAGCTACATACACCAAAAGATATTGGGGAGGGAATTTGAAAATAAAAGAACTAATATAAATCAAAACACCTAAATAATAATGACCTGACATAATAATTTATTTAATCCTGAGCTCTGCTTTCCAGGTAAGAGCTCATTGTTAATTGTTCAGTGTGTAATTTGGTTTTTCAGTGAAAATACTCAAATGTGAAGAAGCTTACTGTTACATAAGAATACATAGTTTCTGCTGAGAGTCAGATGATTTGAATCACATTACTGCCTCCTGAGTCAGTCCTCAGAATCAACAATTCATTTTACATTGAGATTTCGTGCAGAGGTCAAACATTTTGACTTGGCAGTGTCATGGCAGCATCTCAAAATGCAACTGTTGGGGCTCACTGCATTTAATCTCCTTGTGGATTTACTTGTTAAATGTGAAAACCAGCTTCCAGCCAAAATTTTTGTTTGTCAGATTTTATTCAGGAACAAATGTGTTTATCCCTAAAATTTTGGCTGACTTGCTTCTTCATTATAAAAAGAAGGAAAAATATTCTACATGCTCTTCTGTCCATTTAGAACTAATTGAGCATTTTGTTTAATTTTGTTTTATGTTCTTTGTCCCTAAATTGCAGGGTAATCTTGACGTAAAGATTTTAAACTGAAAGAGGGCAGATTTAGATTAGATATTAGAAATAAATTATTACTGTGAGGGTGTTGAGGCACTGGAAGGGGTTGCCCAGAGAAGCTGTGGATGTCCCATCCCTGGAAGTGTTCAAGGCCAGGTTGGATGGAGCTCTGAGCTACTTGGTCTAGGGAAAGATGTCCCTGGCTGTTGCAGTTTGTTTTGGGAGGGGGCACCCCAGGGTGTCCCCAGAGGGCCCCCTAGGCTGTGAGTTGGCTGGCCCTGGCCATGTCACCGGGTTTGGAACTAGATGATCTTTCCAACCCAAGCTATTCTGTGATTCTGTGAAAATGACCCATAAATGTGCTGTTACATCTTTAGAAGCTGTTGGAATGAAAATCTTTTTTCAATTGAAGAGATAGAGGCAGCTGGAATTATTGGTTAAAAAAGAAAGTTACAGATTGTTCCAGAGGGTACACTAGGTTAGTCTTGACAATATTTGTCGTTCTGTAATCTTGTTTTCTTCATTCTTTTATGCCTTCTCTATTCCTTGCTGCTGTGGAAAAGGCCTGACACATCAATGTTGAAATTGATCCCTACACACGAGAGTTTGCACAAGGTACTGCATCAGCTCCACTTAAGCTCTGTAAATAATGCTGAAATCAGATTTAAGTGGTACTTACATCAAATTTGGACCCAGGAATGAAATTAATTTCAAACGTCTGCAGGGAAGGAGTGAGGCTGGTTGTATACAGTTGGGCTCCTTACAGAAAGTCCACACACTGGTACAATTTCTTCTGCAGCACTGGAGCCTGGGTGGTACATGTCACAGGACAAATGTGATGTCCAAGTTGTCAGTGATCCTTTCACATATGCACACTGGAGCTCAGCACACAGGCAGAGAACTCCTGGCCAAACTGCTTGGGTTTCAGAGGAGCTGTCACATAGTCTTAATTTTATTTCATGAACTGAATTAAGTTGATCTCAATGGATAGATTGACCAATTAGCTGTTGCTGCAGCAGAACCACCCAGGGCACAGCAGAGCAAGCAAGGTCTGTCGAAAAGCAAGGCAGGAGGGAAAACTCCCAGCTGATACTGAGCTGGGTCCTTTGCCCAGGAAAATCATTAAAGGGCCCTGTGCTCAAAAAGGCATGGCAGGTTTGGTAATGCAGACCCTGCATGTATTTCTGAGAGTTAATGAGGAACTTTGTAGAGGTCATCTGCTGTGCACACACTTTTCCTAAATATCCCATGTTAGATCTGGTCCCTCAGGGTCCACAGGTGGCCACTAGCAGAGGTAGGGTGCCAGGCTGGGTGAGTGTTTTTGACATATCACCAATTAGTGATATGCCTTTTAGAAGAGGCATCCTAGCAAACCTGGGTCAGGAGTCTTTCTGCTTTTGTTTTCCCAGTTCTACCTGCAGCTTCACTCAGGGAAGATGTTGTTCCATTCCTGTCCTCAGGTGTTCTGCATCTCTGAGCACTGTTAAGTGATGATAAGGGCAAGGCTGGGTTACACATCACTGAAGCCTGTACTTAGGAAAGCACTTAAGTAAATGTTTTATTCCGTCCTTCTTAAAAAAAACCCACCATTAATTTTGGACTTGCACAAAAATTGCATTATTTTCAACAGGTCTTCTATGAACATACTTAAGCCCCTGTGTCAAAAAGAAAGCAAGTGTTCATGGATATAGTGCTGCAGGCTGGCACCATGGCTGAGTGGAGGGCCTCTCCTGCACAGGGCCAGTGTCCAGGAGATTGTGTGGGCTCCCAGGTAAAGGTACTCCTGTCATTAATTCCTGTGCTTCTCCCAGCAATTCCTGTCTTGTCATCTGAAGCACTTTTCTTGAGCAAGTGGTAGGTGGGAGAAACATTTGCCTTAGTGAGGCTCATCATCACTCAGGCTGGGTTGCAGGATAAAACCTGGTGAGACGGAAACTGCACTCAGAGTGTACCTGGATTTTCTTGGGTTTCACTACGCTGCCTTCCCAAAGGTCTGTTCAACAGGTAGGAGGCATAGGCAGAATTTTGCACTCACAAATGACCTGATGTGTGCATGCAGATGTGCAAGGCATCAGGTCTACATCCCCTCCCCACAGCTCACCTATTCTGGTGGGGATACAGATATGGCACTTACTGAGGGTTTGGGGTTTTTTATTTTCTGACTGCTTTAGAGCCCCAGAAGCAGCATCAGGACTATCATAGCACTGCAGTTCATTCTTTAAGCACTCTATAGAATTAAACTGACATGTATGCTTTAAAAGTGTATTGATGGAAAAGTATGGAAACTGTACTGTTGTGAAATCAGAAGCAGTTGTCATTTTTAGGCCTTTTATTTGAGGGAAATTGTGGCACAAGGAAAAAGGCTTTATAAGGCAATTTGGAAAAAGAAATTATTGAAATCACATATGATAAGCGGTCCCTTGGATTTCACTAATGACCTCTGGATTAAATCCCAAAGAAGTCATTGGAAGAAGGGCACTGATGTTGGGGTGCATCCATTTCACAACACTAAAATGGCAGAAAAATCCAGACTCTTCTTTCCCAGCCTGTCTCACAAGAGTTTGTACAAGGGTGAGCCTTTGTTGCAGGGGAAGGAGATCACGGGATCAAACTTGCACAGTGCTGCTTCCTCTCCTGTGCTTTGTGCTGCCAGTATCTCTTGGAGCAGGTTGGAGAGGGGAAGGGAGCTTGCCCAAGTTCAGCTCCAGGGCTTGGTGAAAAGCAGGCCGTGGGCTTCCAGCAGGTTGGGGACAGCCAAGCTTCTTCATGGCTAGTGGTGACCCTGGGACTGGAACTTTGCTGGTGAACACTGAGCCCATGCAGACTCATTTGTTTTGTAGATGCAAAACGTGTGAGTGTATTTGGCGCAGGCAGCATGACAGCAGCGAATCAGCTTGGTTAGCATGAGCAGGAAACACAACGTGGAGTAGTTTGGGGCTGAAGGAAAACAAGGCTGGGTGTTTACAGCTTCTTAAATAGAGGAAGCTTTCACAGGCTTCTTAAATAGGGGAAATTGGTCTAAAATAAGCACTGCTTTCATTTTACCAACCTGTTACCTGAACTAATTGATAGTTTCAGAGAATGAGGAATGCCAGATGGACTGTTCAGGGAGGATTTGTTTGTGAAACAGATGGCAGCTGCAGGGTGGGACAGAGAGTGAGGGCAAGGGTGAGGGCTGCCCCTCTGCCGTGCCACTTACCCCGCTGGGCTGGACGCTCACTTGGCCCCTTTATCTGCCCATTTCTTTTTCAAGAAAACACCCTTCTAAGAAGGAGCTCTATTTCAAAGGGAGAAATAAAGAAATGAAAGATGTGGATTTTGAATGAAAAGCCAATGTATGTTTTTTCCATCTGAAATTAATCTTTCTCTCTCCAATGTTTTAATTATGAATTGGTGGAAGTTATTTCTTTCTGTAGTGAATGGCAAAAGAAATGAGAGGAAAAAAAAAAGGAGTAATAGTGTTTTCCCTTTCTTGTGTATTTCTTGATTCTTTATCCTGAGTAGCATTAAACACAATAGCCAGATCAAGATGCTTGTTTGCTCTGAATGTATACAGTTATTTCAGATGTCAAATATCTAAATGTTTTGTATATGTATGTAATGCCATCCACAATACTTGTTTCATGGTAGGAACCTCAAATGATTGTACCGTTTTATAATCAGATATGTAAAGAGGGGACAGTGGGTGGGTCTGTTATTTTTATACCAAGATGTTCCTTGTCTTTAGTGAACATTTAAAACAGTTTTGTACTTGTCAAAATATACATTCCATCCATTTCCAGAAGAGAATTATTTCTATTTAGAGTAGTTTATAAGCAAACCAAAAAAAAAAGGTGGCATCCCACTTATATGCAGTTCCTGAACAAAGCAGCAGTATCCTGGTTTTCAGTGATAGCTACAAAGCTAGCCATGTCTCTTCTCACGTGCAGCAGAGATATACCAGCAAATGCCAGTGTTATAAAGGGAATTAAAATCCCAAATGAAATAAATACCACATGGATCAGTGCACAGCTTAACAAAATAAGTTCATTAAGTTCAGAGACAATGGTCTGTCCCAGTGAAATTCTCCAAAGTAGTCAGCCCTGCTCTGGACAGCAGGAGCTGATTTACTGGGAGGCTTCAGCTCTGTGTCCCTGCCTGGCAGAGCCAGAAGGCTCAGCAAGCTGGGGAGATGCAGGGCTGTTACACTCCTGCACTGTGGCTCTGACTATGCTGCAGCTTTGGTTTGGGAAACACCTACCCAAAGGTCATGGCAAAGTCATACCGTGGCATTTGCATGGGCCATTCTTTTTCTTGTAGTTGGCTTTTTCATTCCCTCCCTTTACCCGCTACCTGTGATGTGCTGCCAAAGCTGTGCAGTAGCAGTTTGTGAAGATTTTTTTTTTGCCTTTTTCCCTTCTGTACAGTCTTGCAAATAAACTTTTAACTCTTTGCTGACATTCTATAATGTATTCATCTTCCTCTCCAATGCACTTTATTTCTCTTGAAAAATGTTGGAGTCGGAGAACTACCATCTTAAAGGGATTTGCCTGAAATCATGAGACACGTACTTTTTATTATTTTGTGTCCTTTTTGCTTTGTTCAATACTGTAAATGCTAAAGAGCATAGACAGTGACTCAGCTGGGGGAAATACCGAAATGTTGAGGCTAACACTTGGAAGCATTAATCAGTAGTTCAACATGGCTATTTTTGTTAAATAGAGGATTATAATGTAAATATGTGAGACCGTGTTATTACGTACTAGTAAAATATTGCAACTCTCAAAGTTGAGATGGTGAATTCCAAGGAATTTTATTGCAAGTTTTTTAATAAAACAAATCTGATTATTGTGTTATATGTATTTTCTAACGGTGTGTGTAAACCTGGAATTTCCTGATGTGTGAAACTTGTCGGTTTTTTCTCCCTGAACTCAGCCACTGCACACTTTGGCATTCATAGGAGGCAAAAGGTACCAGTGGGAAGGGACACAAGTGACAGCCTCGTCCCCTGCTCCTGCTCCAGCTAGGAAGCGTGACACGTCTCCAGCTCCTTACTGCTTTGGTCGCCTCTGCCCTTCAGCTGCTTCTAAACAGAAAGCAGCAGCTGTGTGAGAGGTAAATGCTTCTGCTGCCTCAAGGGAGAGCTGCAGCCTCAGGCCAGACACGGCTGTTTTAACACGATGTATTAAAGCAGCTTTAAAGGATGACTGGTGTGCCGTGCCTCAGCGGGAGTTGCACCGCTGTTGTGAGGAGACATCCAGCTGCTCTTCCCTTGCCTCATCAGACATCACC